TTTTTTTCATAATAAAACAATTAACTACTAACGGTCGAGAACTAATTCATAATAAATACATTGGATTCATCTCCCAGCCATTTGAAACAACACATTACATTTTGTATTAAATATTATTAACTGTTGATTATTTCTCGGTTCACCTCAAAACCGATACAATTTATATGTTTTGCATTCAGCTGACTTGAGATATGAAAATAAAGAAAAGTAGGCCAAAATAGGCCAAAACGTCATTTATTTCCCCATTGTATTTTTTACGTACACGACTTTTCTCAATAAAAAGTGAAAAAAATTTTTCTTACTATAAATTTACAATGTCGAGAACCCCCTTATCATTAAAATTGTCACCCTTGCATGTAAGTAAGTAGGTAAGTATATCTTATAGATAACACCGGGTACTTATTAACAGTGCGAACTGCGATGTTGCGAATAGCGAGCAGTGCGCGAGGGGCAGCACAATGCGCGCGGGCCTTTTCGTGACCTACAAATATTGAGAACGGGAGGACGTGACGGCTTACGTCCTCTCCTATTTGCAGCGGCGTCAAGAAACCTCCATAAGCACCATGTCCCTCTTCCTGTGCGGGAAACTGCTGAGAAACTCCCAGGCCAGCAAAAACATCAAGGTTACCTCTTTGCTCGACTTACCCTACCCGATCAGCTGCTTGACAAGGCATATCGTCTGCACGAGAAGTACCACTGCCGCCCTCGTACACTCCAAGCTCGATTATTTTGGAGCTAGGGTAATGATTCTTCCTGTTAAGTAATTGTTGATGTTTTGTGCTACTATTTGGCGTAAAACCATCTTTATATGTACCTATCGTTTGTACGTGCCCATTATTTTTTGATTGCGTTTTTTCGAGCTCAAAGAGGTTATCTCTGATTGACTAGATAACATACTTTTTAATCAAAGGTGATTGGATCAAATAATTATGCCACATTGCTAAATGTTACATTCAATTATTATGTTATGATTATTGTGCTTGGTGCTTTTTTTTTGTGAACTTGTTGGGTTTCCGTTGAAAAGTTAAGTTGGAAATTGTAAATTTGCATTTTTACTTTGCTTATGTAAAAATTTTTATTTACTGATATGGGTCGAACTGGTAGAGAACGTCATCGTAAAATACGGGCATTTTCGAAAATTTCTCACGAAAACGATAGTTACGATCTTCATGAAAAATTAAAATCATGGATGCTTTCCAATAATTGGAAAGCCTCTTGTAATTTGGTCCCTCATGTTTTTGAAGCCACTGGTAGGGGTTTGATGACTATGGAAAAAATTCATCCAAATCAAGTAGTGCTGCAAGTACCCAAGTCACTGTTAATAACAACTCATGTGGTTTCTGAAAATCTTTTAAAAAAATTATTTCCCACATGTAATAGTTACAGTGCTCAGTCTGTTCTTGCTGTATTTTTAATTTATGAAAAACATCTAGGGGAGCTTTCATTCTGGAAACCTTATCTAGACACTTTACCACTATATTATACAAATCCAGAATTTTGTTCTAAAGTTGAAAAGAAACTTTTAAGCCGTTTTATTGCAAATGATCTAGACACTATTTCAAAAAGTCTGACATTTGATTACGTGTCTGTTATAAAGTCTATTAAACTGTTATGCAACAGCAACAATAATTTTTGTACCCATTGTAAAAAGTCATATTACGATATTTTCACTTATCATAAATTTTTATGGGCTTATTACACTGTCAATACCAGAGCTATTTATATGGATAATAGTAAGCAGAATACTGTAATTAACATCAGGGGCAGCGATAATTTAGCTCTATCTCCTTTTTTGGATTTATTTAACCATACACTTGAAACTGTTGCTGAAGCTCAATTAGTATCTACTATGAATGGTGATGAATTTTATCAAATTAAAGCATTGAAATCTTATGATCCTAATACGCAAGTTTTTATTAATTATGGAGCACACAGTAATCATAAATTATGTATAGAATATGGTTTTTTCATTCCAAATAACCCTCTGGATCAAATATATTTTAATATATCTGATATCAAAAAATGTCATCAAGTTTCACTGGTGGCAGTAAATTTTTTGAAATTCCACAATATGGACAGATCAATGGCTTTCACGGTTGAAGGATTAAACTACAACGCCAGAAATGCTTTGTTAATATTAACTTCCAACACATTAAAAGAGTCTGTTTGGAAAGAAAAAATATACTGTGATAAACTTGATGGTAATGATTTAAAACTTGCACATCTAGTTGGTTTAGCCATTTTAGAAAATATTAAAAAAGATCTTGAGAAACAGTGTAAAACTATGGGAACGACTGTTAAGAAAACACCAAGTTTTTCTGTGGTAACGAATCTTGCAATGGAGTATATAAAATTAGCAGAACTTGCTATGAAACAAATGAAATCATTGTTATTCCATTAAATCAAATTGATTCTTTTTATTAAAACTCGTGCTTTTATATGCAACACTATTGTAAATACTTTCTTTCAATTTTTTCAATAAAGAATTAAACTTGAAATTTTAACAGCAGTTGAAAAAATTTTCCTGGCCTTCCTTTATACGACTAGTTTTTCACATAGATTTTTCAATTCCAACATCATGGAAAAAAAAATTTAATGTTTTAAAACTTGTTTTCAGTCTGTATGATGCAAAAAAATAATTTTTTAAAAATCATAAAATTAAAATTTTTCAAAAAGTTATCAATACAACCGATGATTTTTTTAGTATTGTAGTGGAAATGTCATTGATAGAGCCCAAAAAAAAAAGAATGTACCTCAAGCCAAGTCAATCTTCACACCAGTCACACAGAACCTGGCGGTGGCGAGTATTACTGGAGCCAAACTAGCTCAGCAAAAAAGAAACTGCTTCCATCCAGGTGCGTCAAGTTTGAGCAGAGAATCGCTCAATCTCGGCACTGGTCCCGATGTTACACCACGTGAGATGGTCACAGCTATGTTTGAGTTTATATGGCCCAAGGTGGGTATGCAAAAAAAATTTAGTACCCAATTTAAAAATCGCACACTACTTTAATAATGAATTTGTTGGTTTGAGAATAAAAAAAAAGCATATCCGTTTGATTTCCCCAAAAACTAGAATGAACCGGAAATAAGGAACCGAGTTAAGCTAGCTTTAAGTCTTCTGATTGGAGCAAAGTTACTCAATGTATCTGTGCCATTTATTTTCAAATATGCGATAGACGTGTTTAACACCGCAGGCGCATCTTCAATGGCCACGGCTCCTGGAACTGTAGGCACCATAGGAATGACTCTGCTCGTTGGATGTATGGGCTTGACAATTTTTTTACCTTTTCTTTTTTTTTGCCAAGTCAACAAGCAACAGACTCTATAATCCAATATTCATTGTGTTGTAACGCAGATGGAGTAGCACGATGCGGGGCATACGGATTCAACGAGCTTCGTAATGCTGTTTTTGCCAAAGTTGCGCAACATTCGATCAGAAAAATCGCCAAAAATGTATTCTTACATCTCCACAAACTCGATCTTGCATTTCATTTAAGCAAACAGACGGGTGCCTTGTCAAAGGTAAAATCTTGGCGAATGAATTACGTTTATTTAATAAACAGAGACACGCACGAATTGTTATAAAAAATTTATCGCTTTCACAGACGATAGACCGAGGCAGTCGCGGTATAAACTTTGTATTAACAGCTATGGTTTTCAATATTGTTCCTACCGTCTTTGAATTAGCACTAGTCAGTACAATATTGGGCATGAAATGCGGAATTGAGTACACGGGAGTTGCACTCGGATGCGTTGGTACGTACGCTCTTTTCACTCTTGCTATTACCCAGTGGAGAACCAAATTTCGCATGTACATGAACAAGGCGGAAAACGAAGCAGGCAACAAAGCGATAGATTCGCTCATTAATTACGAAACAGTAAAGGTGAGAAAATTATATTCCTTCTTTTCAAACGTGAGATATGCATTTCACTTTTCTTTCTTTCTCTTTTTTTCAGTATTTTAATAATGAAAAATTTGAGGCTGAAAGATACGACTCGTCTCTAAAAAAATATGAAGCTGCGTCTTTAAAAACGAGTACCAGCTTGGCCTTACTGAATTTCGGACAGCATGCCATTTTTAGCACAGCTCTAAGTTTAATAATGGTTTTAGCTGCCAGGGATATTGTTAATGGTCGGTTTCGCTTGAAATTTACTAATGTGGCTGCACGTGTGAATACTTTTTATTTTACATTTGAAATTACAGGAAATTTAACCGTGGGAGATTTAGTTATGGTTAATGGGCTGCTTTTCCAATTGTCGATCCCCCTCGGATTTTTAGGTTCAGTGTACAGAGAAGTGAGACAAGCCTTTATCGATATGCAGACAATGTTTGCTCTGACGATGATGGATCCCGCAATAAAAGTAAGTTACCTTGTGTTTCATAGTGAAGCCACCACGATTGTATCTCTTATTATAATTGTGATGATTTTAGAACAAAGTCAATGCCGAGCCTTTTTTTGTTGTGCCACAAAAGTCTGAAATTACCTTTGATAAAGTAAACTTCCAGTATGTGCCTGGAAAAAATATAGTCCATGATTTGTCCTTTACCATCCCTAGTGGAAAGAAAGTAGCCATAGTAGGTGGATCTGGATCTGGGTATGTATTGGCCATTTGTTAAATTAATAGTTTGTATTTTTGCCGCCAAACAAATGATGCTGATTCAATGCATTTGCAGCAAAACCACCCTAGTCAGATTGTTGTACAGATTTTTTGATCCCGCAAGTGGCAGCATATTGATAAACAATAAAAATATTAAAGATGTTGACATGGAGGATCTTCGTCGCTCCATTGCCATTGTACCTCAAGATTCAGTTCTCTTTCACGAATCGATATTTTATAACCTTCGCTACGGAAACTTATCGAAATCCGAAGAAGATGTTTACAAAGCCGCAAAGATGGCAAATTTGCATGATGCCATCATGAAGTGGCCACAGGGCTACGAAACACCTGTGGGAGAACGAGGCTTGAAATTAAGCGGAGGAGAGAAGCAACGCGTTGCCATAGCTAGAGCGATTTTAAAGGATAGTCCGATCCTGATATTTGACGAAGCTACTTCGTCCTTGGATTCAATCACGGAGCACGTAAGTTTAAACGAAAAAAAAAAAAAATTCCTCTTTGAATAATGTTAAAGTTATTTATACTTAAAATCCCATTGATGTAGCACATACTTGAGGCTCTGCGACGCGCCACTGCCGGAAAGACTTCCATCGTGATTGCTCACCGTCTATCTACGGTCATAGATGCCGATGAAATTTTCGTTTTGGACGGCGGAAAAGTAATCGAACGAGGAAAGCATTCAGAACTACTCAAAATACCCAATTCGTATTACAGTAAATTATGGGAAGCTCAATATTTGAGTGCAAGTGATGAAAGTACCACCAAAACAGCTACATGACAAACTTAAATTGTGTACAGTTATATTATTTATTGTTATAAAATTAATGCGGTTTTAAATTTACTTTAAAACTGTGGAATAATAAATTAGTGTTAAAAAATGAAGAGCATATGTATAAATATTATGTAAATATAGTTATCAGAAATCGAATTAAAAAAAACAAAAACATGTAAGATTATTTTGTAAATAATCTGGTAATCTTTTAAGTGGTATATGTACATTGGAAACTGTGTTTTTATTTTCTTAACCGTGAGAGTGAAAAAAATTTTTTTTTTGCTTTCGATAATAAAGCGTTTGATAACGATCAAATAATCAATTAAAAACGTGCACGTTTTTCATTTATCCCGTGTGTGTCCAAAATATTGTTTGTCCCTCGATGTTTCCATAGTAACGCAAAAAGAAAAACAGTCATACGTGCCCTGGTCATGGGTGCCAATCATATACTAGGCCAAGTGTACAAAGTGTTGTTGTTTTTTTTTCTCAGATGCATAGATCAAATGCTGTTGAAAATGTGACGAGTAAAAATAAAAATTGTTACTTTTTTTTTCTTTTTGTAAAGAAAAATGCAAAGTGACGTTCCTCCGCTGCCGATATCGTGTTTAATTAGTAACATTCTTTCACGTAGGTGCGTACAGATAAAATATGTGTCAATTAAAAATTCACCATAAAGTTGAAGTTGATCATAATAATAATAATAATAATAATAATAATAATAATAATAATAATAATAATAATAATAATACACTTGATTGAACGTTTCCAGAAATCGTAATAACATAAAGCCAAAACCTGCTAGAGAAGTGGTTGGAAAAAACAATTTAACGGGTAAAAATAGGAAGCCATTGGGTTTATCGGTGCATTTGGTTCACAAAAAGAAAGCGACAAGTCCCAAAGCTATCGGTTCGTATTGATACTTCTCGGCACAGCTTTGTTTTCTACACAACTATAGCTCTCAAATCGCTGAAAAAAAAAAAAAAAAATTTTCAGCCGGATCTAGTCCTTACACCAACGTCACGCGATTTAACCCACCCGACACTGCCAAGCCGCCTGTAATAAGCGCAATAGACCAACGCGTTTCGTCGGCTAAAATGCTTCGCATAAAACAACTGCAAAACCAACTAGCCGATGCCCATTTCCACTTGAACGTGAGTTATTGCGTGTACATACTATATGGTTGCCAAGAATTGACATGGTATACACGCAATTGCTATACAACGGATCAACAATCATTATAGAGTTGTTTTTTTTTTTTTTTTTTTTTTTTTCTTTGAAACTATTCGTTGAAGGAATTGTCCAACGAAAACAAGTTGCTCAAGGCCATCGAAAAACGCCAGGACGCGGCCCTCAAGCGGTACGAAGGCACAAAGGCGGAACTTCCGAGGATAATAAACACCCACCAGGAGGATTACAGGGTTCTCCAGGCAAAGTGCAAAAAATTGAGGTCCCAGTGCAACGCTTTGGCCGACACTTTGAAGGAAAAAGAAAACGAGCTGTATTCTTTGCAGGTGCATTCAGCAAGTAATTATTACAGATCGAAAGCAACGTTTTTTCCTCGTCACTTATATATTTCTCCCCTCTTCTCTAATAAATAATTATATTATTTATACAATTATATATTCATCTCGGGTATGTTTATATCTCTTTTACAGGCGCAAAACAAAAAGCTTTTGCAATTGAGCAAAGATCGCCATCTGTTGGAGAGGGACAAGCTTCAAGTGCAAGTTTCGGACTTGAATTACAGGGTGGACCAGCAAGACGAGATCATACAGGTATTTTAATTGATGATAATTTTACACGTATACAAAGAGAATAAAAAAAAATGTGTATGAAAAATGTACGCCTTGTTTGTCGAGATGTTGAAACGAAAGTTGGCACTGGAGAGCAAATACCTGAAGCACCAGCTTCACGTGGAAATGGTCAAGCACAAGGAGACGCAAAAGCAGCTGCACGAAACGCAGATGAAACTCAAAAGCGCGGAAGAGTTGGCCGAGCAGCGGGAAAGACAATCTTATCACGCCAGTCACGTATTTTTTCACAAAAGCAGTAGTAGTAGACCAACGAGCAACTTTACCAGCCAATCTCTGACCAATTTACACGACAATGACAAATTGGAAAGCGCACCCAGAGTCCAAAGGTATACCTTTTTGTTTTGTTTTTCACGTACATTTTGACTCATTGATTTATGTATCTGTTGATTTTGACGGCCACGAAGAAGACGCAGGTACGAAGGTACGAAAGGACAATCTCTTCCAGCCCTCGGTGCCGGCTCGGCCTCGTTAACAAGAAGGAGCCAGTCACAGGAGAATCCGCGAAAGTCAACGATGATTCACACGAACAACGACCGAGCGCGGAATCCTCAACTGTTAAAGTCACCATCGGCCAAGCACAAAACGGCGGCATCGATTTCTTCCAAGAGTAGCACAACAATAAGGGATTCGCCGATCAAAGAATCTAGATTAGAAGTAGATTATGCAGGGGCGGACGGGGAGACTCCCGAGCTTCCAAAAGTGGTGGTCAAAGAAGATTTTGGCTATCACGAAAGCGGTGGCGGTGGTAAAGTTAACTTTAGCGGCCAATATGAGTACGGCAGCGACCCTCTCAGCCTCACCAGTAGGTCGAGATCGTTGCACACGAGGTAAATACACATATTACAAACGTGTATGTATCATGTTTTATAATTAAATTGTTGTTTCATCATCTCCTTCAGGTTGATCAGTTCTGCCGTGGAGGGAAAGCGCGTGAGGGGAGAATTGCCGATGACGACGGCGAGTCGGCCGCGGTCTTTTTCGAAGGAAAACATGGAGCTCATGGAGAGGCTCAACGAAAGCGATTACGCGACAAAGTACGATCGGGACTCGGTTGTCACTGTCATTTCAAAGGATTATGGGCTTGGGAACGAGACCGAAGGCAACAACAGCCACAGCGACGACGAGAGCGAAATCGAAATACCCGTAGCCTTCAATGCCGACGAGGACGAGGACAATCGCGGGAAAAGACAATCGGACATTGACAAATCGGAAATCGAGAGGCATCACCAAAACAAATTGTCGACCGACTACTCCTCGAGCACGTCCTACGAGCAGTTTAGTCGCAGCAGCAGTTCTTCCAGTGGGCCCAGAGAATCCTCTAAAGACGCGAGCAAAAACTTGGATCGCCATCAAGAAACTGACTTTAACTCGTTTGGAGAGATCGAAACGAAATCTGCCATGGACGTCGATGCGTCCATCGATGATTTGATATCACGAAAAAAGTCGATTCACAAAGAAACATCTCCTTTGATTGCTAATTTGGACGCCAATGATTACGAAAGCGCTTTGGCGGAAGAAGAAAAACTTGTTGCGAACGATTTGAACGGCGCATTAAGTTTGGATTTAAAAAATAGCGAGGAGCCAAATACGGCTGCGAGCGATGAAAGTGCCAGGAGCTTTGATAAAGCGAAGTTGCTGGCAGCTATGAAGGCAATCGATGACAACGAGAACGTTGAGTTTTTCCAACAAAAGCCCCGAAAAAGTAACAACGCAGCAGCTCGACTGCAGGTGACGGAAAATTTGTACAGAGGCATACCTACGCATTCAAAGAAGAAAAGTGATATTATGAAAGAATTATTTTCTGAATCTGGACAATAAACATGACATTGAAACGAGTACTTTTGCCTGTACGTATCACTCGCTATCCTAATTTTATGTAGGTTTAACATATATTCAGCCCAAGTATTCGTACAAAATATCAAACTGGAAAAAGATTACTCTCTCACACACACACACACACACACACACACACACACACACACACATATGTGTGTGTGTATATTTTGTTATTCTTTTTTAGAAGGAAAAAGATAATGTAAGAAATGTAATTTTATCAACGAAAAGAGAGATGATTTTGATAACGATTTTATATAAATAAACATCAATGCGGTTGAAAATGGTATTTTCCATAAAAAGTATTATTTCACAAATATAGAAAATCAGACTCAAACATGAACTTTCGATGCTGGGCTTGTATTTGTCATACTAAAAAATTACAAAACTACAAGTTTCTCGATTACATTAGTTAGTAATACCAGCTTGTTTTTTTTAGTAGCAAACTTAACAGTGTTTTTTTTTGCTAAGGATACAAACGTAAAACGTAATTACTCCCATCCATTTAAAAAATAATTACAATAAAAACACTTCAACCGTCAACAATCAACATCACAGATTAAAGAATTTTTTTTTTTTTCTTTTCTTTTAGGTAACTTTGTTACTAAAAAAAGTAAATATTTGCGCATATGTACATTTTACATGATTTTAGAATCCAATCGAGGTAATAATATTCGTCAAAGCCGTTCTGGCTTCACTTTCTTTGAAGGTGCTTGTTAAAATATCAATTGCTTTCTGGGAGTGTTTTTGCTGCAATTCTTTCGTAAGCTCGACACCAGGACCTCTGATTACAATGTCAAAAACGTTCCCGAAATTCACGTTTTCGACCGTTTCGATGCCTTTGTCGATTTCCATCAAGATGGATGGATCGTATTCTATGTGATACATGACAGGTGCACAATTCAAATTAAATGGTGTGTTTCTGTCTTGAGCAATAAATGGAACAAGATCAAGATTGGCCTGCCAATTAAAATTAAAATCATGATAAATAGTTTTGTTACAAATCACGACTAGTGGCTAAATTTTTTCTTGCCAATAATACATATCGTCGTTGACATACCTGCCAAGCGAGAGCCAAGTGCTTTCCAAACTCATGAGCCTGCTCTTGCATAAACTCATCATGGCCAGCCAAAATGAGCGTGCCTTTGCAGGACTTTGCTAAAAAACTACCAGAACCAAGGTAGTTTTGATGTGTCCATTCATTGACGGCGTAGTTTGTGCGGTCCTCTGGTGGTATCGCGGGCAGAGGATTCTCTTGACTATCCCTCCTGCCAATGAAAGCGGATTCTGATAGGTCTTTTAACGCGCACGACATGAGTTCCAGAAGCTGCATAAAATTCAAAACACAATGTACTGTGTAATATGATTTTAGAAGTGTTTCGTCGAATAACTAAATTTACTTACAGAATGGTTTTTTATGCACGCCAATTTCATGCAACTCGTACCGAGCAGGTAGTCACCGCTGAGAAGTGCAATTTTGTTACCAAAGGTCATATCGTTTAGTTCGGCGGGTTCCAATCTGTGATTTTTTTTGCAAAAATTGACCAAACCTCTGTGGACCAGGTGGCCGATTCGAATCATTTCAGTGATCTCAGCCAACTCCTTTTGTCTAAAGAAAACTAACGTCACGTTAATAAGTAAAAAGTTGGGAAGCTATTGATTGGTATATACAGTGCCAGGTAGTAATGGCAACACACACCTATGTAACACACCAGCCCTTGCATCCTCCTCTGCATTAAATTGGTCTGTTTGGCTTGCAGCCTTTGACAGCAGCAAAACGATTAGTCCCCAGGTCTGCATGTTGCTATTCTCGTTGTTAAAAAGGCTTCTGTAAAATTATTTAAAAAATACGAATAATTAATGAGTTCACCATAAACTTTGACATGTTAAATAAATAAGGCAATGCTTACTTCGCAGTTGTTATTAGAGGATGATTCGAGCCAACAAGTTTTTGCAAGTGTACAGCAACATTAGCTATCTCGTCATTGAGTAACCAGCGTGGATTTAAAAAGGAGGTGGGGTGTCCTACGACTTTTTCAGCTTCTGTGACTGCCTGATTCCAGTCGACCTTTGGATTTGCAGTAACTTTTGTACTATGTTTCTTATAATTACAGTGGGTGGTAACCATTGGGTGATTGCAATTGTACAACAAACGGTGCTTGTTACACAGTAGTGATAAAATTTGCTTATTGCTAGACATCTCTGTAATGACTCTGAGTGAGATTTATTTTAGCTGTAAAAACATGTTTCATTAATGTATGTATATAATTTTTTTTGAATTTCCTGATAAAAAAAAGTATCTTTATCAAGATATTTGAATCTGATGTTTGAAAAATAACCTTGATTAACAGGAAAATTTTTGATAAAATCTGATTATTATCTTTACAATCAAGCAGTTACATAACACGCGTGACACGACTGTTGGCGGTTTTTCAAAGTAATGTATAAAAATTAAATCTGCCTGTGTAAAAAAGTCAAACACAATACATTAAACACTATAGTACAACGGTAATCTAAAATAAATCACTTGCAAATCAATGGACGTAGGAAAATTAAATACGCTACAGGTATAACCAATAATAGTCAACCATCAACAACGAGATCAACGTGTACACACAAATATTTCGAGCATAGGTACTTAGTTTTGTTAAAATTTCCATAAAACCCCTTATCACTGTACCTTTAGATAACAACGACGACGACGACGACGACTATGACATGATAATAACTATAATGTTAAGTCGGAGACAATTAATGTTCAATCACTTGACAATTTCAAAGGCTCTTTCAAGAGCATTCTGAAATATAATTGAGCTTGATTTTCCGTACCTAACTTTCACGCTTGTTACAAAACATGAGCCAACATCTTTACACAAATAGGATAGGTACTATTGATTTTCGCGCAACCTTCCTGCATTAAGTATATCTCTCTACATACTAGTCACTGAATAAACTTTGATTGACATATGACGTACTTAATACGAAATCATAATGAAAAGTGGAAATACCTCTCGGTAAGTACGTGTCTCGGTAAGGAAACTGTATCACTACATTCACTATATATATACTTTTAGTATTAGTCACATGTATATGATAATCTCACTACTACGAGTACTACACGGTACTATAACCGTGAATAGGTAAATAACATCAGACTTTATTTTGAAAAATTAAAAAAATCATTATATATTTGTTCAACTTGTGAGTCTTAAACACATGTACAAAAATATCATAAAAAAACAAATTTTCGTTCATAACATAACAAATATTTACAACTATCATCATTTTTAATACAATAAATTTACGATAACATGATGTATAAATTTAAAAACATAATAGAAATATTCGCAAGTATCAACGGTATTAAGAACATTAGTCAACGTTTATATCTTCAATTGTTAACGTTCAAGGACCGAGTGTTTGAAAAAAGTTTCGGCAAACTTTTGATTACCAGTAATAATGCAATTGTACTCTTACATGCGTGATTGTTCTTCAAAAATCTTCCATCGCTGCAATGATGTTAGACAAGGCAGTTCTTGCATCGCTCTCCTGAAACATGCTCAGCACCTCCAGTGCTCGTTGTGAATGTTTTCGTTGCAGTTGTCTCGTTAATTCGATTCCTGGGCCACTGAGAATAATGTCGTAGACTTTGGCGTAGTCCACGTTGTGCACAGATTCGAGACCTTTATCAATTTCCATCAAAATTGAGGGATCGTGCTCAATGTGATACATGACTGGTGCAGAACACAAGTCAAACGCCGTGTTTCTGTCTTCCGCAATAAATGGACTTAGATCAAGACACGCCTGTAATACAAGTTGGTCGTTCAATTTTTTCAAAATATTCGAGCTAGGTTTTTAAAAACATAATTTTTTTTTATTCATTATTATTATTATTATTCTTCGTTTTTCCCCTTCGCGATATCNTATTATTCGTTTTTTTTTATTATTTTTTATATACCTGCCAAGCGAGGGCCAAGTGTTTTCCAAAATCGTGCCCGTGCTCTTGAACGTGTTCATCATGCCTAGCTAGTTTCAAAGTACCCTTGCAAGATTTTCCCAACAGAGCACCAGCACTCAGTACGTTTCTCAAAGTCCACTCGGTGACGGCGTAATTTGTGCGATCGGCAGGCGGTATCGATGGCAGAGGATTGTTTTGACTGTCTCTTCTACCAATGAACTCAGCCTCTGTCAAATCCTTGACGGCGCTTGACATTAGTTCCACTAGCTGTAAAAAATTCATCGTGGATTGGACGCAAAAAAAAAAAAAAAAAAAAAAAAAAATACACCAACATCCTGATTTCTGAGAGCCGCCAACTCTGCACTGCTGTTTCCGAGTAGATAATCACCGCCGAGCAAAGCAATTTTGTTGCCAAAGGTCATGTCATCCAATTGGGCGAGGAAGGTAGGATCGTCCTTGCTCATGTTGACCAAGCCCTTGTGCACCAAGTGGCTCGTTCTTATCATCTCGGTGACTTGAGCTAACGCCCTTTGGCTGAAAATTGCACGATACCATTGTTATTTTCATCCCGTATCCGCGGACGAGAGAGCGCGCAACAACAGCATACTATGTGTCTTCACCTGTTTAATAACCCAGCTGATTTCTCGTCTTCCGCGGCCTCCGCGTTTAAATGACCTGCAGCCTTTGACACGAGCAGCACAATCAGGCCCCAAGCTTGCGTGTAATTGCGCCCATGGTATATCAAATTCCTACAACAATAATTCAGTTTATTGATTAATCGAAAGGCGCGCCGTGTTATGGTGTATAATATGTAATGTATATATTATATACTGACTTGGCAGTTTTTAAAATCGGATGGTTCGAGCCGACGAGTTTCCTGAGGTGCAGAGCAAAGCTTTCGACCTCGTCGCTGAGTAGCCAGCGTAGGCTCAGCAAGGAGGTTTGGTAGCCGACGACCCTCTCAGCCTCGGACACTGCCGTGTTCCAGTCGAGCTTCTGCTTGGTGGCGGTCTTGGCGCCGTAGAAGACCTTCTGGTGGCCGTGCAGGGCCAAGGGCCGCCCGTTGGCGGTAAAGATCAAGCCGAGCTTGCTACTACTACGACGGAGGATCGCGAGGGCTGAGTTACTCGCGGACATGCTTTTATTGCAACGGTCAAAGCGCGAAAAAGAAGCCCGACGGTGTACGCGCACATGCAACGGGTCGAGGGAAAGCTCGTGCGGATGTTATGGAATGTCGTCGTCTTGAAATCGGTGATGGTGATGATGACGAGGAATAATACGATACTCTGCAAGGCCGCATATCGTACGTACGCTTGTGTGTATTGCCGCGGGACAAGGCCAGTGGCTTCGAGAGCGCGTCTCTTATATACTTACTTGCTTACTTATTGACTCGAGTTTGGATAACTTTCTCTTCTGTCCTGGATTTCTCTCGGCGCGCCAACACCTGTGGCATATATAGTATATATACATACGATCCTACCCTCCTGGAGTCGTGGGCACCGTACCATGAAATAACGCACAAATGCCCATCGCACTTTTTCTTTTAGCCTCTGATGCGTCATCTGTTCCTCGGACATTCTTTTTTTTACATTTCTCCAGCTCAACTGATTTTTATTGTTATTTATTGGTGCTTCAATTGTTGATATGTATATAAGTATTCATAAGTGTAGATCTTAGGATATCTTGGAGCTTTGAAAGTCAATTTTTGCAAATCAAGATAAAACATTTGATATTTTTTTTTTTTTTTTGCATCGTTTCAAAGCAGTGCAAATAATTACTTTGTACGCACTTCAGTGTTTACGTTATGAAATTTAAGATTTTTTAGTAGACATGTATTTCACGATACTTATGAGAGTTGCCAAAATGATCCAAAGTAAAAATATACAATTTTTTTAATGAATTATTTTAATTTCGAGTGGTGTAAGGAGAATGAGGGTATTTCGAATAAATAGACATTTGCTTTTGTATAAAAATTAAAAACGTTTATTTTATTTAACAAGCATCACAAAAAAGACCAGTTTCATCACCTGCCCATAAAAAAATCAAATTTTGAAAATTTTACAGAAAGTTGACAAAACTGGCAACAGGACTTATTGACTCAGTCTCAAATAACTCGAGGCCGGCATATGCGGTTAAAGTGCAAATTAGATTTTCACCTGAGCCGCATGCACCGGGCTTAAGCTACTGCGACTGAATCAATAAGCCCCGACATGAAAAATTATTTACACATTATATAATTTCGGTCGTTATTTGTTCAAAAGCGATTTAACTTTAGTATTAGTCACATGTATATGATAATCTCACTACTACGAGTACTACACGGTACTATAACCGTGAATAGGTAAATAACATCAGACTTTATTTTGAAAAATTAAAAAAATCATTATATATTTGTTCAACTTGTGAGTCTTAAACACATGTACAAAAATATCATAAAAAAACAAATTTTCGTTCATAACATAACAAATATTTACAACTATCATCATTTTTAATACAATAAATTTACGATAACATGATGTATAAATTTAAAAACATAATAGAAATATTCGCAAGTATCAACGGTATTAAGAACATTAGTCAACGTTTATATCTTCAATTGTTAACGTTCAAGGACCGAGTGTTTGAAAAAAGTTTCGGCAAACTTTTGATTACCAGTAATAATGCAATTGTACTCTTACATGCGTGATTGTTCTTCAAAAATCTTCCATCGCTGCAATGATGTTAGACAAGGCAGTTCTTGCATCGCTCTCCTGAAACATGCTCAGCACCTCCAGTGCTCGTTGTGAATGTTTTCGTTGCAGTTGTCTCGTTAATTCGATTCCTGGGCCACTGAGAATAATGTCGTAGACTTTGGCGTAGTCCACGTTGTGCACAGATTCGAGACCTTTATCAATTTCCATCAAAATTGAGGGATCGTGCTCAATGTGATACATGACTGGTGCAGAACACAAGTCAAACGCCGTGTTTCTGTCTTCCGCAATAAATGGACTTAGATCAAGACACGCCTGTAATACAAGTTGGTCGTTCAATTTTTTCAAAATATTCGAGCTAGGTTTTTAAAAACATAATTTTTTTTTATTCATTATTATTATTATTATTCTTCGTTTTTCCCCTTCGCGATATCATCATGGGTATTCATTATATCCAACTACGAG